GAATCATTGAAATATGAACCCTGAGCACGTCTGGAGAGGGCAAAGAGCCCTGTCGTAACCTGCCAGGGCCCGGAGCCGCGGTGAACCGTAGAGATTTGATAGCTTGAAGCACTTCCGATACGGTTACACCGGCTTTGAGGGCCATCTGCGCCGCTTCGGACAATCCAGGAAGTCGGAGGTCTTGAAAGAAAGCCTCTGCCTGAGCTACAGGGAAGGGATCTTGTTTAACGTAAAGGTGTGAAGGGAAGTCCGTGAAATGGGAAACAATCTGCTGGGGATTGAAGTACAGCCACCCGCAGGAAGTCGCAACCGGATTGGTTTGTAGGGTTTCCCCACAGAATTGAGTTTCCTGGCCAGCATCGGACCCGGCCTATTAGCACAGGAATAAAATGTATGTTTGATCCAACGCAGGGCCTGTTCAGCCTCCGAAGAAGCAAGTAGGTCCAACTCTGCAGCCAGAGTGTCCCGTGTGCGTTTATGGGCTGCGGATAGGAGCGACTTCCAAAGAACAGCCGCATAGGCCAATAGAGAGTGAAGATCCAAAAGACAGCGCTCCCGCTTCCGAACTGCTGACAGCTGTATAATGTGAATCCACACCGTGGCTTTATGCGCCTCCCACAGGGATACTGCTGAAGACACAGATCCCGAGTTTTCCGCAAAGTATGTATGTAAGAAAGATTCTATTTGTTGGCAAGTAAACTGAGTGGTCAATAAAGATTTGTTAATGCACCAGCCTCCCCAAGAGGGCAAGGAGTAGAAATTGAGGCTGGGGCTTCAGATGCGGCCTCCGGCGGGTAGGCCCCAAATTCCTGCCGAGCACTGGAGGCATGGGCGACCCCCATTTTCTTGCCCATCGGGGTGGTGGATGGCAGCAATCTGGGGGAGGCTGGAGGGAAGCTGGTCGACCCCCCCCCTGAAGGCCGGTCGGCGGATCGGCCTATGTGTCCGGTGGCCGAGGAGCAGGCTTACAGTGCAGCCATATGCGGATGCTGCTCACGAGCGCCCCCCTTTGTCTTTTTGACACTGTTTAAGGTTGTATCTCGCATTTTTGCACATTTCTGGCTGATGCTTTTGACTTAACCGCTTCCTGTCTGCCCTATAGCAGAAGTACTGCTACAGGGCGACATGGGTGCGCAAAGTCACAAATATATACGTGATTTTGCAGTTCTACCCTACCCACACCGCCATTCGCGGCTGTCATCCGGCAGCCGATGATTGCGGAGCATCTCCGACGGGGGGGAGAACTGTTTGTAAACAAAACAGTTTTCTCCCGTCAGCTCCTGCACACTGCTTTGCATGGCTGTACACACCACAGCCATGCAAAGCAGTGTACTTACAGTAAAGTACACAGACACAGCCCCTAGTAAAAAACAGCACACAGCACACTGTTAACCCTTTGATTGGCCCACATGTTAATCCCTTCCTGCCCAGTGCCATTAGTAGAGTATCAGTGCTTTTTATTAACACTGATCACTGAATTGGTGTCACTGGGAATGTCAGTGACACCAAGTCAGTTCCCCCCATTATCAGAATGCCTGCCGCAGTCCCGCTAATTGCCGCCATTACTAATTGAAAAAAAAAAATCCCAGAATATATACCGCCATTTGTAAACGCTATAACTTTCATGTAAACCAATTAATTTACACGTATTGGGATTTTTTTTTAGCAAAGACATGCAGCAGAATACATTTTGGCCTAAATTTATGATGAAATTTTATTTTTCACATTTTTTTACTGGACATGTTTAATAGCTAAAAGTCAAAAATATTGGGTTTTTTTTTTCAAAATTGTCGGTCTTTTTTTTTTTATAGCGCAAAAAATAAAAAACACACAGGCGATCAAATACCACCAAAAGAAAGCTCTATTTGTTTGAAAAAAGGACGTACATTTCATTTGGGTGCAGCGTTGCATAATGGGCAATTGTCAGTTAAAGTAATGCAGTGCCATAATGCAAAAAATGGCCTGGTCAGGAAGGGGGGAAATTCCTCTGGAGGGCAAGTGGGTTAAAGAAGAAATAAAAGCAAAATGTTTTTATTTTAGATAGAGTAGGGGAGGGTTATAACTGTCAGTTTTTTGTGTACCATTGGAAAGATTTCCTTTCAGTTGATTTCCTGTCCTATAGTGAAAACAAGCAGTGAGAAGAAATCCCGTCACAATTAGAGAATCCCTTTGTCACCAGGGTCACCAAAATGAATGTGGAAGATTTCCTCTCTATTACTTAGTGACAACGGTAAACATGTCAAATATAGCAGGTGAATCTCCCTAATGGGGGTACAGACAGCAATATAAAAAACCTGACAGGTGTTCTAGTCCCAATCCACTCTATTCAAAACGAATAAAAAAAAAGATTTTGGCCTTTAGTTATACCTTAAAAAGGAGGTTTTGAACTGTCTGGCACGGCATGTTATTTGAAGGAAAGCCTATTAACGAAGTGTAGTTAAAATATGTTCCTTTCCAATAGGTGGCCAAGACCCCCCCCCCCCCCCCATTACACAACATAAACAATTTAAAACCTACCATAACGTTGGGACCACACATCTGCGGTGTGGTAATGCATGGGCTGCCTAACACATCAAAAAAGGTGCACATAATATTTATTTGTAACACAGTGTGCACCACAATGCAAAGTAGTTTGTTACTGTGCTGTGCCAGAATGCACATTTGTTGGCAAGGTGGGTTGGGGTGTCATTAGGAATGAATGGCACTGCAGCGCACCAACACAGAAAACGTGTTTTCACACACTGTGGTAACTTCTGAAATCAGTTTTTTTCTTTGTACATTAACTTCTGAATTAGCACAGCGGATTAGTGTGAACATGGCCTTAAAATCTCGTGTGTTGGACCTCCTGTTAACACATTCAGTTCCATAAATGTCTTCTAACAAATATTTTCACTCTACAGGGCTTCTCCTGTTACAGACCCCCAGGCTGGAATGTCATAAATGTGCCAGAATTCTGATTGTGCTCTGCCACCTTTTTACTAAGCGCTACCTCTTTTGCCAGTAGGAATGACCGTTCATACATGATGGAGACTGTTAAACAGAATGTACATTTGTAGGATCCATTCTGGAGCAAACTTCTGCTTTATGTAAAAATGTACAGTTGCAAGAAAAAGTATGTGAACCCCTTGGGATTACGTGGAGTTTTGCATGAATTGGGCATAAAATGTGCTCTGAACGTCATCTAAGTCACAACAATAGAAGAACACGGTCTGCTGAACATAATACTACACAAACATTAGATGTTGCCATGGTTTAATTGCACATAACATGTAAACATTCACAGTGCAGGGAGGAAAAAGTATGTGAGGCCCTAGCTTAATGACTTCTCCCAGAGCTAATTGGAGCCAGGAGTGAGCCAACCTTGACTCCAATCAGTGTGATGATATTGGATGTGTTGCTGACAGCTGTCCTGCACTTAAAAAAACACGCACCTGTTTTGGGTTTACTGGTTTCAAGAAGCACTGCCTGATGTGAACCATGCCTCGCAGAAAAGAGCTCTCAGAAGACCTACGATCAAGAATTGTTGACTTGCATGAAGCTGGAAAGGGTTACAAAACTATCTCCAAAAGCCTTGATGTTCATGTGTCCACGGTAAGACAGACTGTCTACAAATGGAGAAAGTTTAGCACTGTTGCTACTCTCCCAAAGCGTGGTCGTCCTGTAAAAATGACTGCAAGAGCACAGCGCAGAATGCTGCATGAGGTAAAGAAGAATCCCAGAGTGTCAGCTAAAGACCTACAGAAATCTCTGGCACATGCTAACATTTTTTGTTGACACATCTACAATAAGGAAAACATTAAACAAGAATGGAGTACATGGGAGGACACCACGGAGGAAGCCATTGCTGTCCAAAAAGAATATTGCAGCACGTTTGAAGTTTGCAAAAGAGCACCTGGATGTTCCACAGCACTAATGGCAAAATATACTGTGGACAGATGAAACCAAGATTGAGTTGTTTGGGAAGAACACACAACACTATGTGTGGAGAAAAAAAGGCACAGCACACCAACATCAAAACCTCATCCCCACTGTAAAACATGGCGGAGGGAGCATCATGGTTTGGGGCTGCTTTTCTGCCTCAGGGTCTGGACGGATTGTTGTCATTGATGGGAAAATGAATTCCAGAGTTTATCAAGACATTTTGCAGGAAAACGTACGACCATCTGTCCGCCAACTGAAGCTCCGCAGAGGATGGGTGATGCAACAAGACAATGACCCAAAGCATTTAAGTAATTCAACAAAACAATGGCTGCAACAGCACAGAATACGCCTTCTGGAGTGGCCCAGTTAGAGTCCTGACCTCAACCTGATTGAAATGCTGTGGCATGACCTTAAGAGAGCGATTCACACCAGACATCCCAAGAATATTGCTACACTGAAACAGTTTAGTGAAGAGGAGTGGTCCAAAATTACTCCAGATCGTTGTGCAGGTCTGATCTGCAACTACAGGAAACGTTTGGTTGAGGTTATTGCTGCCAAAGGAGGGTAAACCAGTTATTAAGTTCAAAGGTTCACATACTTTTTCCTCCCTGCACTGTGAATATTTACATGTTATGTGCAATTAAACCATGGCAACATCTAATGTTTGTGTAGTATTATGTTCAGCAGACTGTGTTCTTCTATTGTTGTGACTTAGATGACGTTAAGAGCACATTTTATGCCCAATTCATGCAAAACTCCACGTAATCCCAAGAGGTTCACATACTTTTTCTTGCAACTGTAACTATAATGTTCTATCATAATCTTATCTGCAAAATGACTATTGGCATCAGAGGTGTCAGATAGTAAGAATTGTCTATATTGGTCCTAGGAACCAGCCAAGTCCTTCTCATTTTTATAATGTGAATTAGAATGATTAAAGTGAATTTTGGTTTCTGTAAATTCATAAAGTGCAGTGTCTGGAATATGTTTAGTTAAATAAATATTGGTCTCTTTAGAAGTGGACTGTATCGTTCAGATTATGTACGGCAGTATGACTAAAGTGTATGTTTACTTTGCAGTTTTGATAAAACAAGAGGAAGAAGCCAGGTGAGTGATGGATCATTATTAATTTAAATTTGTTACCTACTTATCTGCAAAGTAATAGTATTTTTAATCAATGGTCTTTAAAGAGTAACTCTTGTTGAGAAAAAACCTTCCCTTCTGGGTGATCTCATTGCAAGGATTTTACCAAACTTTGTTGTAGATTCCTTCCTTTTGTTATTCTGAAGAAATAGCAGTTTGTTTGTCTGTGTCCATGAGCTGAGTGAATCTGTATGGGAGTGATTATCAATTAGCTGCTGCACCTGCAGGGCTCTAATGAGGAAAATGGCAAGGACTGCATCCCTTTTGACGTAATTTCCTTTTGGGAGTATCTCAACAAAAATAAAATTTTTGTTGCAGAGGATACCCAAAAATATGACTTGTATCTCAGTGCAGACTTCAGGGAAAATTGAAAAATTAATAAGCCAATCACACAAGCAGGAAATAACATTTCTGTGGGTGTTCTGTATACCATCTTTGTACAGAACACCTCTAGGCTGCCATATTGCATTGCATTTACATAAAATTACAGCTCGGCAGATTGAAAAGGAAAGGTAATTTTTAACAACATTCAGTTACAATTGTTGCAATTGTGTATACTATTTTTTCCCCACAAAAGAGGAGTTGCCCTTTAACAGCTGGTTCACACTTTAGTGGAAAGCTGCGTTTTTCCACACTAATAAAATGCAGCTCTATGCAAGAGCACACAGAAAACAGTGGTTTTCTGTGTATCTTGTTCACACTTCCTCGCAGCTGTCATCTGCGGGGCAGAGCAGTGTGGAAAAATCCAATATGGCTGCACTTGTCCACAGCACTCCATAGGTCTGTGCGACCTTGCATTTTTTTGTGCAGTCCCTCAGTTCAGCAGAGTGGCCGTGCATAGAAATCTCACCCTGTGACAAAAAAAGGGGAAAAAGTGCCTTGTAAAAACATGAGGCACTGCACTCTTCTGCCAACAGCTGCAATCACTGCCCAGAATTGTTTTCTCTGTGGGTAGTGTGAACATACCCTAATGCCCCGTACACACTGTAAGAAAATCGTCCGAAAATTTTATACGAGGATCGATCGTCCGATAATCGGGTCGTTAGTACACAGCTTTCGAGAGATGATCACGACAATTCATGCAACAATATCCAAAGAGAAAAGCGCAAAAATTTTTCTCGTATGATACCAGATTGTATGATTTTTGTTTAATCAGTACAGTAGTCATCTAAAAATACAATACAAATACATGACATCACTTTCAAAATTCTTTTCTTTCGTACAAGAATTTTCGTATCTTTAGTAACCTTTTCACTTTCGATGTGAGACTAGCAAGCGAAAAAAAACGGGCAGTCGTTTGTCTGATATTCTCATGGTGTGTACGGGGCTTTAGGCAGGTGTTTGTTTCACATAGTTAAGCTTTATTGACAGATATATCAAAAGAGAGCCCATGGCACACATTTTCAACATCTGCAAATCACCCTTAACCACCAGGTCTGATAGGGTGTACTGAACAAAGGAGTCTGGTACATATCTTTGCTTTAATTAGAAATGGCTTTGTGCTTTGTCAACTTGAATGTTTCATGATATGTTCAGTCAGCTCTCTCCCATACTTTTCAGTTGATTCTACCAATGGGTAAATGGTGGCTGCAGTCACAGCCTGTTTATGCATGCAAGTGCATATAGCATTGTCTAATAGTTATCTGAAGGGTGATACTGATACATTTCTGAGCTTCAGAAGCAATAATGATTGTATAGTGAAATTTGTTGCATCAGTCTTTTGTAAGTCTGGTAAAGTTGTGAAGAAAATTGGATCCCAGCACACCTTCATTGCAAGAAAACAGCAATCCATCTCTTGGCTTATCACTCTTGTGGAGACACCCTCATATCTATTGCCTGCTTTAGTCTGTTGATATGCTAAGCCATAACAAGTTCTCAAGTTCAGTAAACCTTAAAATACACTAAATCTTCTTTTATTGGTGGTTTGACTTGCTGCACTTTATACATAACCAATGCTTTTTGCACTTCTTTATTGGGTATGCTCCAAAACAACGCAGGATTCTTTGTATACATAATTATAACAAGTGTTAATGTTTGAAAGAAATGGAGTTAAAGTTGTACATATGTAAATGGAAGCCTGTGCATATATATGCACGTTGTGCGTACAGTATGTAAGTGGAATCCTTAGCTACTGAATTGTATAAACAACAAACTTTTTATATATGAAATAATAAGAATTAATAATAAATATTCCATATTTCAGAAATTGCCTGACCTAAAGCGATATTTTCACCCAACAAAAATGTAGTATATTGCAGTTTACCAATTCTTGGATGTGGTGGTTGCATTAGTTTTCTCTTGTAGGCCTTACTTTATTCGATATTTTACCTGGTGGTGATCTTGCCAGTAACATACTTCCTGTCTTAGGGTGTCTGCATTCTGGATGAAGTAGTACAGCAAATACCTTTGGACAGCAGTATTGTCAGTCTGGGGAGAGGGTAGCGATGTACCAGCAGATTTAGATGGACTAACAAACTGAAGATGAACTCCAGCTAACACTTTTTAAGCAGTTGCTACAAAGTTTATTTCCTTTTGGGATAAAAGTTTTACGTAAATTAATAAAAGAAAAATATTGTAAGCACCACTGTTGGTGTTAAATGAGTTGTCTCAACCCTCTAACTGCAGCTTCGTCTGGATAGCTTGGTCTGTTAGAGTATGTTGAAAAATAACAGAATGATTGGATCATTGGGTGAAAATAAATGAAAAAAGATTTTAAAAAAAGAGAACTAATGGAGCCACCACATCTAAGAATTGGTGAGCTGCAATTTAAAAAAATTTTTGGGGGGGGTTTATTATAGCTTTAAACAATATAAGTTTTATTTAGCTCATTTCTTAGGTGGAAGCATAGTGAAAAAAATATATATACAAAAATATGTACAAACCACTACTGTATATATTCAGTTTAATATTATTTATTGCTGCTCAGTTTAAAAGAATATGTCACATTTCATTGACAGCAGTTATTCTTAATGATAGGCAATATGAATGTAAGTTTGGTGCGGTGCATTAAAAAATTCTGCATGTTGCATCTTTGATGTGCTTTCATCAAAACGCAAATTATATAGAGTACAATGGTGACACATGTAAAATGCAGTCGAAATACAAGACACCTAAAATGCATCACACAGGTGTGAACCAGGCCTTAATACTATTATCTGAATAGCCACTACATATGGTGTTAAAGCATAGTAGAAACAACTTATAGCCATATTAGTCATCTAAAATAGATACTATGGATTTGTCTTCTGCTTACCTGCCGTATTACTGGTTTGGAGATCTAATTCCCTTAAGTACATAGATTTCTACATTCAGAAAGTTTCTAGCACATGGCACCTTTATTTTGTGAGATACTATAATTCATTCTATTAGACATAAATTACTGTTAGATGTACAAAAATAACCATAGCCTCTTTCCTATGTTAGAATTGACCATGAGAATCAGTCTGCTGCATCTAGTCCTCATTCTACAGCACCTTCTTCTGAAACTGAAATGACACCTACAGAGGAGATAAGAGTCATACAGCCCAGCGTTCCAGAACCCACTGACGCCCCTGAGATAGAAGCTATGCAGGAAGACTCCACAGTTTGCCAGAAAGAGATCTCTAATAGGTAATGCTGCCCTTACATTAATGCCAATAAACTCACAATTTTAGTAATTGGCTTACAGAGAAAAAAATTCAAAAAAGGATGTACCGTAATGAATGTTGAATTTAACAATATGTTTATTTGTGTCCCTCCTGATATACACCAGTGGCTTATAGAGCCAATGAATGGTCACCTAATAAAGCCAAGTTGTGTTGACTTCAATCACCCAGTCATGTGCAAGTTAAAGCCCTGTTTTATTTTCCCTTAGACGTGATTAGAAAAAGTTAACAGAACTTCAACTTCACTAAATTAAATGAGCATTTTTATTATTGTTGTAAAATTAACCTCAATATCTTGATGGATGGATACATTGAAGATAAACTCTCCCCATAAATGCAAATGAAGATTCACTGAACTTTTATTTATGGCGACATATCTTGGATTTTGCCATGTACTTGGCTCAGAATGCTCTGTTAATCACAGGCTGATGATAGTGAGCTTTATGCTGCCATCTTGATTGAGTGTGCAGCAGACATAGCAGTCACTCCTGAGGGCTTGCTGGGTGCACAGTCACATTGGCACTTTTTGCCATTTAGTAAATAGACCATTCATATGACTATCAGTGTTGATATGATTGGTCTGTTTACTGAATGGCTGTGCAAGCATGCTTCCATATCTGCCTCTGGGGGTCAATGGAGATCACGTGAGGCTTCTTGGGCCTGCAGAACTTGTGAAGTCTAGGCTGGGGGTGGGAAATTGCTGTTGAGAAAGTCTCCCATGCATCAGGGAAGTGTTAGAAAAAATAAATTCTGACACAAATTCTGTTTTATAACAGTAACTGAAGGTAAGCCTTCACTCATTTATATGGAAGTTAGGTACATCACAGGACACAGATGAGGTAATAGTCATTTTTTTACTGTTTTTACGTTGTGTGCTAGTGTCTGAAGGTGATGGATGCTTTCCTGAGTCTCTCTGAAGATTTATTTTTTGGGACATTGCTCCTACATTTACTGGCCTGTTCTAACACCTCTATCTGGGCAGAGGTGGGCTCCATCCTGATCAGTCACTATGATCAACAGATCAAGAGCAACTGTACCTGGATCCCACATACAAGTGCAGGAATGGCCTCAAATGTCTGCCATTTAGCATTGGATCCTGCGGTAAACGACCTCTGACTACAGTGAGCCTGATGATCTCATTGGCAGGATGTTTTATAGGTTCAGGGCAATGATCCTCCTGGAGGGGAGTCGAGTCCTTGAAGGTTCTGCGGGGCATGCCCACCACAGTGGGTGAAGTTTGGGCTTACTAGGCTCTACAGCATAAACTGGTAAGCATTTCTGTGTTTGTGGAGTTTTGGCAGCCCCCCATTACACTGTTCGCTGTGTGTTGTTTTAGGACATAGGACGGCATCAGGACATGTGTTTTTCCCCTTATTGGGTGATATACAGTCTGTGGCAGTTTTAAAGTAGAGAGGTAAGAGATCGTTTTGGGCTCTACGAGAAAGATGAAGGTAGACTAGTCAGGAAGAACCCTAGGGAAGGAATGGAAAAACATGGTAAAAATGGAGGAGGTTAATTTTGTGACTTTTAATGTTAAGGGATTAAATAGCCCAGGGAAAAGATTTAAGATCTTCAAAGAAATACAACAATGATTTTCTGCAGTGATGTTTGTACAGGAAACACATTTAGTGCAAGAAACAAAAGTAAAGTTACAATCTAGGTACTATCCAACCTGGTTTTATGCAGATTCCCCAATTAAAAGTGCTAAGGGTGTTGCACTAGGTTTTGCGAAAAATATAAGGTTTAAGTTGGAAGAAAAGATAGAGGACCCGGAGGGGAAATTCCTGTTCTTAAAAGGGAAATTGCAGGAAACAGAATGTACATTGGCAAATATCTTCTTCCCCAATAAAAAACCTGAGGTTTATCTAAAAAATACTCCGAGGAAACTACGGGATTTTAAAAAAGGTAAATTAATTGTGGCAGGAGATTTAAATTTTTGCATGGATCCTCAGATAGATACGACATCACCTGTGCAGAGAGATGGTAGTAAGTACTTGAAATCCTTGAGGAAAAAGTTACACCAATGCCAATTGGTAGATATATGGAGAATTAAACATCTGAAGAACAGAGATTACACGTTCTACTCTCATGCACATGAGATGTATTCAAGATTGGATTATATATTGTTGGATCATAGACTCATGGAGTCTTTGGTTAAAGTAAATATAAAACCTATAACAATATCGGACTATGCACCTGTCACAATGAATTTATTATTGGGTAAAGAGCAAAATAAAGGAAATACATGGAAATGAAATGAGACACTTCTTTAGGATTATGAGACGGAATAGAAGATTAAAAAAGAAACTGAGCAATATTTTGAAAGAAATTAGACTGAAGAAGTGTCAGTAACAACGGTGTGGGAAGCCCATAAGGCATATATTAGAGGAATCTTGATAACGATTGGGGTGAAGAAAAAAAAAGAAAGAAGAGAAAAAATAAATACGCTTCTTAGAGAATTATGTGAATTAGAACAGGGTTACAAAAAGAGAATAACAAAGAGATTAAGCAGAGCGTAATAAATAAACGAGAAGAACTAAATCATTTATTGGAGGAAGAAAAGAGGAGAGTGTTTAATAAGATGACAAGTGAGAGATATCGATGGGGAGATAGACCAGGAAAATATTTAATGAGGGGCTCAGAGAAAAAAGAAATCTAGGAAATATATAGAGAATATAAGAGATAATAAAGGAGAACTAACGTATTCAACTAAGGGTATTGCAAAAGTATTTAAAAAATACTATAGTAAGTTATATAATATCACTCCCCATGGGCCCATAAAAGAAAAAGAAGAAAGAACTAAAAAAAGACAGGCATATCTAAAAAAAGGCGGGTTTACCGAAATTAAGAGAAGAACAGTTAATATCCCTTGAAAATGCAATAACGCAGGAAGAAATTCAAGTAGCATTGAAGAGTACAAAAGCATGGAAAAGTCCAGGACCTGATGGGTACACCGTGGGATATTATAAAAAATATAAAGATCAATTAATACCTGTCAGGGAGCGAGAAGCCAGACACACAAGGAGGTGCAATTAAAGGTAGGTTTATTTACACAGAAACAAGGCAAGAGTCTATGCAAGTCGGACAGCAACAGCGGATGACTTGGTAGGACAGAAGTTCTCCTGCCGAGGTCGTCTTTCAGGATAATCAAGTCGAGAACCAGCGGGAATCATAGCCAAAGCCGGGGTCAGAAGCCAGGAAGAATGGTCGACAGAGCTGGGGTCAGAAGCCAGGAGGAGTCTTTGCCAAAGCTGAGTCGGTATCCAGGAGAGCAATGAGTTAACTGAACAGGAGCTTGCAACAGACAGGACACGAATGCAATGGACAGCTACAAACAGCAGACTTAAATGTGATAAGCCACCACCTCCTGGGAGGAGCCGCAGAGGGCTGAAAGCATAAAGGATCCCACAATGCTTTGCAGACACCTAAAATGGATGCCAGCACATGGAGCAGCACAAGCCCTGAGGAAAGGTAGGACCTTGACAGTACCTCCTCCTCAAGGGCCCCTCCCCCTCCGCGGCTCAGCATAAGGCTTCTGGGGAAAGCGGGCGTGAAAAGCGCGGAGGAGGGCAGGAGCATGAACATCCGCGGAAGGAACCCAGGAACGCTCCTCGGGACCATAACCACGCCAGTGGACAGGAACTGCACCCGACCACAGACAAACCGAGAGTCCAGGATGCGGCTCACCTCATACTCCTCATGACTGTCAACCCGGATAGGACGGGGCCGAGGCAGTGAGGCAGTAAAGCGATTGCAGACCAGAGGCTTCAACAGGGATACGTGGAAGACATTGGAGATGCGCATCCCAGGAGGAAGAGCAAGGGCATAGACAACCGGGTTAACCCTGCGGAGGATGCAGAAAGGACCAACAAAACAGGGAGCCAGTTTCGGTGCGGGCACCTGAAGATTGAGGTTACGAGTGGACAACCACACCCGATCTCTGACCTGGTATGAAGGAGCGGGCAACTGTCTACAATCAGCCTGGAGCTTCTGGCTCTGTGCTGAGTCCTTCAAGGACCTCTGGATCTGCCCCCACGAAGAACGCAGGGCAGCAAGATGGTTGGAACCCATAGTTGGCCATGAAGGGAGACATCCCGGAGGAGGAGTTAACAGCCGAGTTCCTTGCAAACTCTGCTGGCAGGAGATCGACCCAACTGTCTTGATGGTCTGAGATATAGCAGCGAAGGAATTGTTCCAGGGCCTGGTTGGAACGCTCCGCAGCTCCATTGGACTGCGGGTGGTAGGCCAAAGAGAAGGAGAGCTTGATACGCAACTGGGAGCAGAAGGCGCGCCAGAACCTGGACACAAACTGGCTCCCACGGTCCGAGACAATCACCTTAGGCAACCCATGCAAGCGAAAGATCTCCCTGGCGAAAACCGTAGCCAGTTCTTGCGCAGTCGGCAATTTCTTGAACGGAACACAATAGCACATCTTGGAGAAACGATCAATGACCAAAAGAATGACCGTATGGCCTCGAGACGCAGGGAGGTCCACAATAAAATCCATGCCCAGGTGTGACCAGGGATGCTCCCCATTGGGAATGGGTTGCAGAAGGCCCAATGGAAGATGCCGAGGAGATTTATTCTGGGCACAGACAGAACATGCCGCTACATATGAGGTGATGTCGGAACGGAGAGATGGCCACCAGAATAGACGAGAAACGACCCAGGACAACTGGTTCCTCCCCGGATGACCGGCAGTCTTGGAATTATGGTAGGTACGCAGCAGGCGGGTACGCAATCCCTCAGGTACGAAACATCTACCAGCTGGTCTCTCAGAGGGAGCATCAGTTTGAGCCGCCAAAATCTGCTCCCCAAGGGGAGAAGTCAGGCTGGTACGAATGGCAGCCAGGATCTGACCAAGGTCGGCTCAGAGTCCTCCCAGCTCAGAGTATTGCCGCGACAAGGCATCAGCCCTGACATTCTTGGAGCCAGGCAAATAGGAGACCACATATTTAAAACGCA